GACAACGGAGGGCGATCGCACAACCTGGCCAAGCTGCTCTACGTGCACATGCTGGGCTACCCAGCTCACTTTGGTCAGGTGAGGGGATTTGGCTAATGCCTGTCATGGGGTTTCTTCGGGTTAAATGAGCCAGGGGAGGTGAGAAGCCGTCACAGTAGCTGGAGGGTCTGGGCTCACTTCGTCACACCATATCAGCCGTGAAGTCGTAATGTCCAGCACGTGCATCTTACAAGGAATGAGCACACAGTGAAGTTGTGTGAAAATGCTCCCTTGTATTGCTAGTGATGTTGCTGTTATGTGCTTTGTTAAGCTTGTACTTTTACCGTGACTAGAGCACTGTGAATTGTTGTTAATGCCCTCAAGCAAAGTCTGCAAAAGCCTGCGTGTCTACGAGGGTGGACACTGGAACTGGGCCACTGAGGCCCTCCCTGCTGCTCTGGAGTTGAGACTGACCTCCAGTTGAGTGGTTAAATGGTAGGGAACCTACCCGGGGGCATTACTTCACTTTCACTTTTAAAAGAGCTTTTGCTGTTCATACTAGATGGAGTGCGTTCGGATGATTGCTAGCCCGCGCTACAGTGAAAAACGCGTAGGATACCTGGGAGCCATGATGCTGCTGGATGAGAAGCAGGACGCCAGCCTGCTCATCACCAACTCTATTAAGAAGTAAGAATAACCCAAACTCGATGCTGTTGTCATTCATATAAGGTGGTGCAGTTAATGACAGATTCCTTAATGTGTAATTGTACATCTTGGCAAGTTTACTGAAATAATGATGATTTAAATAAAACACTGAATATTTTTATCTTTTTTTTTAGTTAATTCAAATGATGCCTTGTCCTCTATGTGCCTTTCTTTCTATCTATGTGTGTTTTTCAGTGATCTGTCAAACAGTAACCAGTACATACAGTCTCTAGCTCTCTGCACACTAGCCTGCATGGGGTCTGCTGAGATGTGCAGGGATCTGGCGCCAGAGATTGACAGGCTGCTCCGAGCTTCCAACTCTTACATTAAAAAGAAGGTGAGGAATCAATTATTTATCCAGCAGCTTTTACCAATATTAATATTACTACCAGTGAGGTGGCAGTTTAAAAGCAAATCTGTATTGTGTTGTGTGTGATTCGGCAAGCTGTATGTTATACTCAAAACACTGACCTAAGCATGTTAATGTCAGGGATAATGTATTATGTATGTAGGATCCATTTGTGCAGTTTGATTGTTAAATATTCATCATAATCATCTAGTGTGACGTAGTACAACTTTTTAGGATGTGTACTGTTCCCTGTAGGAGCGGTCCCCAACCCCCGGGCTTCGGACCGGTACCGGTCCGTGAGTCGTTTGGTACCGGGCCGCGAGAGTTGAGGCTCAGGTGTGAAATGTATAGTTTTCAGGTTTTTTATCGGTTTTCAGTGTTATTTTGTTCTTGTTTTTATCGTTTACTCGGTTTTCCTTGGTCTTTTCACGTGTTATGAATAAATTTTCTTTTTTTCGGTACCAGTACTAGTTTTGTTTTGTTGTATTTATCCGCGACACCTTAAAGGCCGGTCCGTGAAAATATTGTCGGGCATAAACCGGTCCGTGGCGCAAAAAAGGTTGGGGACCGCTGCTCTATAGGACTTCAAATCCTTCATGAGCTGTAAAACTTGTAACATCCCATCGTCATGTGCTTAGTGGACGTGTGATGTAACGCTGCTGTTCTTTCAGGCTGCTTTGTGCGCTGTTCACATCGTGAGAAAAGTCCACGATCTGGGAGAGCTCTTTACCAAAGCCGCTCGCTCGCTGCTCACCGAGAAGAACCACGGTTAATATACTTTTATGACGTACACAGTAAACTCGTCATGCTGTGAATACTGTTTTCAGTTTATTTCTTATTGTTTTTGGTTTTCATTTGTCTTCAGGCGTCGTACACGGCGCTGTGGTGCTCATTACTGAGCTGTGTGAGCGGAACTCAGAAACACTTGAGCGCTTCAGGAAGGTATGAGGGACACACACACACACACAGATTACTCTTGATCAGATCTTGTCTGTATTCCTACATGTGTGTCGTAATGCGGTTGTGCTGTGTGTATTCCAGACGGTACCAGATCTGGTTCAGATCATGAAAGGTCTCGTCATTTCGGGTTATTCTCCAGACCACGATGTGGCAGGAATCAGCGATCCCTTCCTACAGGTCGGATTTCATTCCACTAACCCCTTGCACATCCCAGCTACACTTTGTGTGAAGTCAGAGTCGGCTAGCGGGACTTATTTTTACTACTATGTGCTGCTTCATGGCTCGAAATCTTAAATTAATGTAGTTTAATTCTGTGTCACTAATACAAACACTAGATTATCGTCACCTCCCAAAATCACCTCCCATCCACGTGTTCCTTCTGTCGCGTCTCCAAACACAGGTACGCATCTTAAGGTTGCTGAGAATCCTTGGTCGCAACAATGAAGCAGCGAGCGATGCCATGAACGACCTCCTAGCTCAGGTATAGTGTTCACGTTCACCAAGAAAAGCTTTTCTTTGGCTCAGTTCACATTCAGATCTGAAAAAAAGAAAAAAGGTTTCTACATGTCAGCCATTTCAGAATGAGCAAACATTTCATTTGACCAGTCACCTGTCTCCTGTTGGTTACATGACCCTGAAAGTTTACCTGAAATGCATTTTTATGATACATGAGAGCCAGCTAGAAAGTTCTTCTCAAAACTGAAACTGTTTCTCATGGAGATAGAGTTGAAGCATGTGTAACTATCTTATTTATTAATATCTATGGTTTCCTGTGACAAATGGCATTAGTCACTCACTCATGTTGCATGTGTGACTAATTCTTGAGAAAAGCTGCAACCCAAAATCTGCCCTTTCTGCAGAGCAATTTTTTAAACTCTTTCCTCCATAAAGACAGCGCCCGTTGACGTCTCCCCTCTACCTTTATTAATGAATTTGGTACCCCCGTATATATCAGTAAAGACGTGGTTTGACAAGCATTAGAGTAGTTTTTAGTGTTTTTTCAAAGGTAGCTGCGTAGACAGAGACCACCCTCACTAACGTCTGATGCAAACTCAGTCATTTTGTTCTATAAGAACTTGACAGAAACTGCTCAGTTCAGCTTCACAGGGTGAAGAGTTAAGTGCAGACACGTATTCAGCTGTCGTCTTTGTTTATCTGATAATTGTAGTTAAAAATACCCTAGTTTTTAACTATACTCTTCTCTAATTGGCACTGTACTAGCTGTGTGTATGCCTGTTTGTGTTTACCACACAGGTGGCGACCAACACAGACAGTACAAAGACTGTGGGCAATGCTGTGTTGTATGAGACTGTTCTCACTGTGCTGGACATCAAGTCAGAGAGCGGCCTCAGAGTAAGAGACTGTGTTTAGTGATGTGAATACATTGAAAATATTGCTGACTGATCAAATTATTAATTCATAGACATACACTTCCCTTTACTCATGCTGCAGGTTCTGGCTGTGAACATTCTGGGAAGATTTCTTCTGAACAATGACAGAAACATTCGGTTAGTTCTATTTTCCTCACATCTTTGTTCCTCTTCCCTGTCTAATCCTCCCCTGTACACATTCCTCCTCCCTTTCTTATCTCTCAGGGTCATTTCACCTTTTCAGGCTAACGGAAAACTCACTACAGCCAAAGAGCGAAATCTCCCAACAGGCTCTTATCATCTGAGCTGACTAATTACTTTCTCTAGAGCCATTACTCTACAGCCACACCAGAAGGTCACGCTGCTCACTGCTCATGCTGAGCTCTCAATTTCAGACCATGTTATTTTCCAGCAGGCGCTGCTGCGGTTTCCTGAGGGTTTTATTGTGTTACAATCTTTTTCTGGGTTCGTCCCCATAAGGGCCCTGTGGGCAGACAGGTCTGTCTAGTTTCTACCCTCAGGTCCTCTGAATCTCTCTGTTGCAGAGTGACAGGTTTATTCCTGCAAGACCTGCCTGACTAGGTAGCGTCTCTCCTGCGTCCACATAAATACTTGATCAGTCCATGAGTTATTTGAAGTGAAGTGATGAATTATTCATGCGTGCAAGCTGAGAAAATTAAGATTTTCTTTTGTTGTTGATCTTTATTGTCAGGTTGAACATTTTTTCAAATCAGATTTTAATAATTTATCCACTGGATGCGTTTCCACACACAGTCACTTTAGATGACCTTGGTGTAGCGAATTCTGCTTCATTATAATAGAGAACGATACTTAAAACTTTCAAAACATTCATTATTTTTGGCTTTCGTGTATGTCTGTTTAGCTATATCGCCATGACCTCTCTTCAGAAGATTGTTGGGACAGACCACAATGCAGTGCAGCGCCACCGAGGGACTATAGTAGACTGCCTGAAAGACCAGGATGCTTCTGTTAAGCGGTGATTTTCTTTTTTTCTTTTTGCCTAGCACAGCTGTTCAACATCTGTAGATGTTCTGTTAAAATGATTCTAGAAGTATTTGATTTCCTGTTATGTTTTTGATACTTTTTAATTGGCTCACATTAAGTAGTGATTGATTTTTATAGATTAAATAACAATAAAACGACGTAACAGTGCCACTGACCTGGCAACATAAACATTCTGTATTTTTGGCAGGTGTAGCTTCCCACTGTGCTACTCACTAACAGTCTGAACCTCACGCTAAAGCTTGATGCTAACTACCACCTCTAGTTTCATCATGTAGCCAAACAGATTTTATTGTGCTGTAAGAAAAACAAAATGATTAATATATATTTTAATATACAGTTAATATTAATATATTGCAAACTAGTATATAGCAGTTTAAAAAAGCATATTTTGCTGACTAATATCAGAGAAGTTTGCACATCCAGTCTGTATACTCAAAACTGTAGTGCTGCTCTGGGACTATTCCTCCTTGGTGATGTTTTCTAGTTGAAGAGTTCCTCCATGTATTTTGATCCAACCAGTGCGTTGTGTTACAGACAGATCAGAGTGTTGCTAAAGGGATTTTCCGCAAACTTGTAAATGTTGATGGACACGGAGAGTTTGAGCAAACAAACATCTTATCAGCTCAGAATGTTTTGACCTGAGCTGTAACAGCACAGAAGGATCAGCTCGCATATCCAGCATTATCAGCGTTGTTTCTCTTTTCCGATCCATCCAGCCGTGCTTTGGAGCTTTCTTTGGCTCTGGTGTCAGCCTCCAACATCCGCTCTATGATGAAGGAACTGCTCAGCTTCCTCTCCTCCTGCCCCCCCGAGCTCAGGTCTCAAACTGCCAGCGGTATATTCAATGCTGCTGAAAGGTAGGTGAAATGCTGCAGAGAAGACAGTGTAATATACTTCTTTCACGAAGTGTATCTGCAGCGCTGCTTCAAGGTTTGTGAACCCTTTAGAAGTTTCTATGTTTCAAATGAGACAACAATATAATATCTGGTCACTCTGGGGTCTGAAAAATTGTTATTAAATGTCCGTGAGTGACAAAAGTAAGCAAACATCTCCTTTCAGTATCTGGTGTAACCTCCGTTTATAGCAATAGTTCCAACTATACATCAGCTGATCAGTCCTGCACACAGAATTCCTCCAGCTTGGATGAATTTTAGCTGCTTCCTTTATACAAGACAGCTTCAACTCTGGATTGTTGATGGCTTACTTATGAACTGGCCACTTCAGCTCCAGCGTTTCTTTTAGATTGTGTTCAGGACTTTGACTTGGCTGTTTAAAAAACATTAACAATATTATTTAACCATTCTATGGTTGAACAACTTGTGTGCTAAGGGTTATTGTGCTGCTGCATGACCTAAGAGCATTTTACAAACAAAAGTTCTGACAGTTTATCTTTGCAAACCACCCACAATTAAAGGTTAGTCCTACCAAAACAAGCCCAAACCATGATGCTATCACCACCATAGCATACCTGCAGCCTCCTCATTCGTCTGTGTGATCTGTAGTACACTGCAGATGTGCAGGGACTTTTTGTCCTTGCTGCCTTGCGTCCTGACTATTACAGGCCTCATTTTGAGCGAGCACTGATTTTTAATTTCCTCTGTTTGTCTGTCTGTTGATTGGTGGAGTTAGAAGTCATCCCAGAGTCCTTTGTTTGTGCTTTGAGTGTGAACATCAGAGTGTGAGGGATCTCCAATCTTTAAATATAAGCAGAACGCCCACTCACAAGTCACTGTACTCCCACTAAATGAAAGCTTCTTATTCACCTTCATTTCATCTCAATAAGTTCATAACCAGACTTGATAATTTCTTACCCGTATCATGCATTTTCTTCATCTTTCTTTTGAAAACCTGATGATTTTTTATGTCACATTTAGCCACAGTTATATAAAAAAAAATCTGATGGATTCACAGGCTTTTGATCACCACTGCATGCATGCGAGCACATACACTGTATATTCATGCGTATGACAAAATGCGGTGATGCAGCTGTGTAAGCCTTGAAGCTGTAACAAGAAAAGTGCCTGTGTCTACGCTGTATGCACCCATCTGTCTCTCAGTGTCCGTCTGCACACACACTGATATTCCTGTCTAAGTGGCACTGCGACTGTGAATAACCTGCAGCGTTTCTACTGTGTATCATTCAACAACTTGAGGCACTTCTCTTTTTCGATGTGTGCTAGATGCAGTAGCGTGTGTGTGTGTGTTTACCACTGAGTTAGCTGTGTGTGTCTCTGTCTCTGTCAGGTATGCTCCCTCCCAGCGCTGGCACATTGACACCATCCTGCATGTCCTCACCACGGTAAATGCTGCCTCTTTTACAGGGTCCTCTTTCATAACTCTTTGTGAATGCATTATGATTGTGTTAAAATGTGTTTTTAATACATTAGACTTCTAGATTGTGTGTACCTCATCTCTTAAGCTTTTAGATAACAAAGCTTTAAATGTTACACCTATCTAAGAGAAAAGTGTAAACTAGTCCTGTGCAGACAAAATGATGCAGGATAGAAAAAGTGCTTGGAAGAGCATAACTAGGAAGAATTAAAGGTTTATAATGTGTATTTATTGCTATGAAAATCTCCCCATAAGGGAGGTTGTTGTGTCTGAAGGAATAATGTAGGTTACCCCCAAATTAGCTGTTTTGTTTATTTTCTAGTATGGTGTTTTGTGTTTGATACCCATTCTGCCAGGCAGGGGGCGACGTGAGAGACGAAACGGTGCCCAACCTGATTCAGCTCATTACCAACACTTCAGAGCTCCACTGTTACACCGTTCACAAGCTCTACCGGGCTCTGCTCAGTGACATCTCGCAGGTCTGTGAGTCTGGATGGTTTCTGTTCTCAGAAGATCATTTCAGAATTCTGAGAATTCAAACACGGAAATTGGTCTCCTGTTTGATATATAATGTAAAATCGTTACTGTCTGAGCGTATCAAACATTGACTGTATCAAATAATAAACTCGTGAAAAAAAAGCAGCTCTGACTGCAGATGTGGTGTCGTTAAACATGAGGATAATGATCAGACTTGAGTCTCAGTCCACAGCCTCACTGATGAGAGATGGTCAGAATTTTGTGTGTTCATAGAGTTTAAAGTTAATTAGAATTTTTTGTTAAATTTCCCTCTTAAGAGAAAGGGCTGTAATAGTCCTGAGTCAGACAGAGCTGCTTTGGCTTTACTGCTTTGCTTTCAGTTTGAAATTGGCTGATGCAGACGGCTTTATTTTCAGATCCAAGCTGGATGAGCATTTACGTATCTGCAGCCCAGCACTGTTTCCTATTTTTCCAGCATCTGGGGAAAATGGCTTTGATATTTCAAACCGCAATGCAGGCCAGTCTGGCAACATCACATATTTTATGTGCTCTGTAATATTTATGTAATATTTGTATGTGCAGCAACCTCTGGTCCAGGTGGCGTGCTGGTGTATCGGAGAGTATGGAGACCTGCTGCTGAGAGGGGAATGTCAGGAGACCGAACCTGTGCAGGTACACAGAGCACAGCAAACACTGGTTTGGGTTTTTATTTACTTCATGCTTGTTGCTCTCTACTGCTCACTGCTGCAATAAATTAGCAATCCAAATTTTTTGCCCGATGATGTAATTTTAAATACACGTTATCTTTTAGGTTTTTCCATGTAAAAATTCTCCGGCACAAAGATAACAGTGTAATTTGCAGTCACAGCTACAGCTGTGAGCTGGGAATAAATAGGTAGTCGGCACGAGCAGGGCAGAAGGAAGGAGCAGCATTAGCAGAAATTCAAATTTGAAATTCTTCTGAAAATTAGCGATGGTGATAATGACAGGAGCCAGTTTTCTTTGTTCAAATCTCGTTAAATATTCATCCCCTGAATATTTTAGTAGTTCATGTCGTTGGATTGTCTTCAAAATAGATCTCCTTGATTAAATGCTTCATAAACCTATAATTACACACATTCCAACGTGCAGAAAAAAAGCTGATAAAGTCCATTGATTTTTTAATGAAGCACTTTTCACTGTAAAACTGCATCGTTGTGCATTGTTGCATGGACGTAGCCACAGTGACATCAAGTGGCTTGTGAATTTTCAATTTAAAGCCTGAAGATCTGCGTTTTCAGACGTGACGAGTAAAGGATGGATCTGACTGAAAAGTCTCACGCTCACTGGACAACTTGTCAATTGCACATTATTAGCCAATGAGCACAACCTTTTTTTACTCAAAGGATACTTTGAATGAACAAAATTTACATATTTCATTCATTTTGTCCCAAAATAAGTGATTTCCCTCATAAACTCATCAGTAAAGTGTTTACAGAGGTCAACCTATCAGGTGACATTTGACTCTGGCTAATGCTTGAGTCAGTCAGCCAGTACGGGGACACATATGCCGACATGTGTCTCTCTGATGATCTGTTTTGTAACACGTCTCTATTGTATAGCAATAAAACAAGTGATCACAACTTTTTCAGTAGCAAGTGTAACATCGCTGATCTAAAAAGTGTTAGTGCAACGTTACTTAGTTACTGTCTGTGTCTTCTGATAATCTTCTGTTTGCTAAATAAATAAATTCAGCTGAAATTACGAGCACTGCGTTTCTTTTTTAAATTAAAAAATGTGCTGCCAGCTGTCAAACCTTGCACTTA